CGCCCGTCACTCTCCCTCACATACCCCGTCACTCCCTCACTCACTCACATACCCCGTCACTCCCTCACACATCCTGTCACTCCCTCACATACCCCGTCACTCACTCACACATCCCATCACTCACTCACTCACTCACTCACATACTCCATCACTTCCTCACTCACACACACCGTCACCCTCCCTCCCTTACACCCTCACTCCATCCCTCCCTCACACTGTCACTCTCTCCCTCACACACCCTCACTCCCTCCTTCACACCGTCACTCCCTCCCTCACACACACCCTCACTCCCTCACACCATGCCTTCAGCTGCCCTCTCGACTCTCTCCCCCCTCCTCGCTCCCTCCCTTCCCTCCCCTCACCCTGACCATTTCCCCCCAATGCTCGGGTCCTGACCCAACTGTCCAGTGCCTCGGGACGTCCTCCCGACGTGAAAGGCGCTCTATAAATGGAATGTTGTTGTTGTTGTTGATACTCTCAGACAGTCTCTCACACGCCCGCGCGCTCTCACCGTTTGTGCCACAGACACAGACGTATTCAATCACACACACAATATGCCCCGAGAGCTGAGAGTTGTACAGTGTGTTTGGTGGAGGGGTCGGGGGTGGGGGGGAGAATGACCCCTCTTTATTTTTCCTTTTCTCTCCCTTTCTCTCCCCCACTCTCTCTCACCCACTCACTCCTTCTCTCTATATCCCTTTCTCCGTTGCTTTCTCTTTGTTGCTCCTTCTCCCTCTCTCTCTCTCCCTCACTCTTTCTTTCTCCGCGTCTCCTCTCTCTCTCTCTCTCTCCCCCTCTCCCTCCCTCTCTGTCGCTCCCCCTTTTTCTCTCCCTCTCCCTCTCTCTCTGGGAGTGAGAGAACGGGGGTTGATGTGGTCGCTGTGGTGGTGTGTTATGCCCATTAGTGAGTGTTTAGTTCAGCACTTTAAATAATTGAGTGTTTCAGAATGATATTTAAAATACATTTGGGAGGCAATGAGGCAGAAAACTGCCTGCCTTTTTTTGCTGATGACACACAGCCATTTGCAAGGTGCGGACAGGAGGGAGGGAGGGGGTGAGTGTGTGAGTGAGTCTGTGTGTGTGTGTGTTGTGAGCGAGCGAGCAAGAGAGAGAGTGAGAGACGGACAGACAGACAGAGAGACAGGAGAAGGGAAACCAAATCTATATCACACAGCCATTAGCGAAGCAATTTACAGCAATGCATCTCTCTAATAACTCCGCCATAGGCTGCCCGTAATGTTAGAGCGTACTCGTTCGCTCGCGCACTCCCTCTCTCTCTTTCTCACCCCCCCCCCCCCCCCATGGACCGCTCAGGATTTCTCCGCTCCTATTAATGTAACATCCATCAGAGGTCCTCTCGCTCTCCCGCCCTCTCTTTCTCTCTCTCTAATCGACGGAGAAATCACATTGCTTAAAAAACATTCGTTTTTCCTATTAGGCGCTCCCATCGTCCTGGCAACCGGCAGATAGGATAGAGATGGCGGGCGGGGGGTGTGTGTGTGTCCTCGTCTCCCATGTCATTTCCCGCCCCCCAGCTCTCACCGTCCCTCCCGTAATAGGAAAATTATACAAATCAAATGAATTGGAAGGGGACGATTACTTTTGTCATGAGTTTTTAATGTCTCGGAGGACGTCTCAAAGCGCTTCACAGGATTTCACTGTAAAGTGTAGTGGCTGTGTGTTTTGCGGGCGAACCCGGCGGCCAATTCGCGCCCAGGGACGTCCCCACGAACAGCCGTGAGGTGAGCGAGTGACTGTATCCGGGGATTGTCGGCCCGGACACCGGGAGAGAGAGGGAGGGAGAGAGAGAGAGAGAGAGACTCCCTTCTCTTTTGAGACCTACTATCGGACCGGACCCACTGCTTTGCAGATGAGACGTTAAACCTCACTCCCCGTCTGTGTCCTGTTCAGGAGGACAAGATTCCGCAGCACTTCGCCCACAAAATACACAGTCACTACACTTTACAGTGTATCCTGTGAAGCGCTTTGAGACGTCTCGAAGACCTGATGAGGCGCTGTGTCAAACGCAACGATTATTATAATAATAAATCTCCCAAACAGACACGAGTTACTCGTGTGAATACTCCGTCCCAACTTCACAGCAGCCGGGAAATAGGGAAGTGAGGGAACAGCGAAGGGGGCTCACACTCACACACTCACACTTACCACACTCACACTCACACACTCACACTTATATCATAAACACTCACCCATACGCCCAGACCCTGACTCACACTCCGAGACATACACAAATGCACTCGCAGACACATTCACACACATACAAGCTCACTCACACTCACTGACTCTCACACTCACTCGGTCTCACACACCCTCACTCTCACACTCACTCGGTCTCACACACCCTCACTCTCACACTCACTCGGTCTCACACACACACTTGTATTCTTACACTCACATACTTTTATACACTCCAACTCACTGACTCTCTCCCCCCTCCTCCACCCCTCCCTACCGCCTCTCCCCCCCCTCCCACCCCTCCCCCCCCCCTCCCCTCCACCCTCTCCCCCCCCTCCCCCTCCCCCCTCTCCCCCCCCCCCCCCCTCACCATGCCCAGGAACATGAGCTCCTCTGCCCGCAGTTGCTGTGTGATTTTCCGCTGTTTGTGACCTTTCCAAACCTGTAGCAACACAGAGACCTGATGAGAGCCCGAGACACACATAGCCCCCCCAAACCCCACACAGCCCCCCAAACCCCATACAGCCCCCCAAACCCACACAGCCCCCCAAACCCCACACAGCCCCCCAAACCCCACACAGCCCCCAAACCCCACACAGCCCCCCCAAACCCACACAGCCCCCAAAACCCACACAGCCCCCCAAACCACCACAAGCCCCCCAAACCCCACACAGCCCCCCCAAACCCACACAGCCCCCCAAACCATACAGCCCCCCCAAACCCCATACAGCCCCCCCAAACCCCACACAGCCCCCCCAAACCCCATACAGCCCCCCAAACCCCACACAGCCCCTCCAAACCCCACACAGCCCCCAAACCCCACACAGCCCCCCCAAACCCCATACAGCCCCCCAAACCCCCACAGCCCCCCCAAACCCACACAGCCCCCCAAACCCCACACAGCCCCCCAAACCCCATACAGCCCCCCAAACCCCACACAGCCCCCCAAACCACAAGCCCCCCCAAACCCCACACAGCCCCCCCAAACCCCACACAGCCCCCCCCAAACCCCACACAGCCCCCCCAACCCCACACAGCCCCCCAAACCCCATACGCCCCCCCAAACCCTATACAGCCCCCCCAAACCCCATACAGCCCCCCCCAAACCCATACAGGCCCCCCCCAAACCCCATACAGCCCCCCCAAACCCCATACAGCCCCCACTCCCCAACCCTCCCTAACCCCACACAGCCCCCCCAAACCCCCCTCCGTAACCCCCACACAGCCCCCCCAAACCCCATACAGCCTCCACTCCCCAAACCCTCCCCAACCCCCACACAGCCACTCCCCCAACCCCCTCCATAACCCCACACAGCCCTCCCTCCCTAACCCTAACCCTCACCCCAAACCTGTTACACTCCGACACACACACAGCTCCCTCTCCCCAACCTCACCCCCTTGCTCTGCGCCCCCCCCCCTGCCTTGCTCCGCTCCCCCCCCGCCCTTAATTTGTTGTCATCCTATGCATATCATCCTGTCCACTCTCTCCGCTCCCGCCGCCTCCATGTTCCCCGCCCGGCCCCCCCTCCCCACCATCGGTGGTCTGGCCTTCAACCTCTCTGCCCCCCACCCTCTTGAACTCCATCCCACAGTCCCTTCCCCTCACCCCCTCCCTCGCCTCCTTCAAGGCCCGTCTCAAGACCTTCCTGTTAGACCGCGCCTTCGGTCACCCTCCTACCCCCACCCTCCCCGCCCTCCCCCCCTCCTGATCCCAACCCCCAAATCCCTGACTGTCCAACGCCGTGGGACGTCCTCCTGACGTGAAGATGTAACGTGTTTTGGTGGTTGTTGTTGACACAGAATTCGCACCCGAACCCCCAAACCTTCAGCAACCGAGAGATCAACTCACACACAGCTCCCCCCCTACTCCACCCTCCCCCATCCCCCCCCACCCTACCCCTCCTCCACCCCTCACCCTCCCCCTCCCCCCACTTTACCATTTTATATGGTTGTTTTCAACGTTGTGGTTTGGGTGGCGAGGGGGAGGTTTAGGGGGGAGACAGGAGTGTGTTTGGGGTGAGGGTCGGGGTTGGCGGGGGTTAGGGCGGGGTCTGTGTGTGTGTGTGTATGTGTGGGGGGGGGGGGGCGAGGAAGGAGGTGTTGACCCCACCTTCTGGATGTAGGTGGCGGCCTGGGTGGGGTCCATGGTGGTGATACCGAGCAGACGAGCTCGTTTCTCCCTCTGCTCCTCTCGCCAGATCTCCCGCATAAATGCAGCCCTGAGCCTCCCCTGCCGGGCGCGCTCGGAAATCTGGATCACCCGCACCGCCTCGTCCTTCGTCAGAATCACCACACGCTTCTGCCCCCCCCGACACAGAGAGAGAGAGGGGGGGAGAGAGGGGGGGAGAGAGGGAGAGAGAGAATGGCTTAGGCATCACCATAACCAACACACAATAATAATAATAATCCTTTGCATTTGATATAGCGCTTTTCACGTCCGGAGGACGTCCCAAAGCGCTTCACAGAACACACTGTAAAGTGAATTGACTGTATATTTTGGGCGAAACCGGCAGCCAATTGCGCACAGCAATGTCCCACAAACAGTCGGGGATTGAAAATGACCAATTTATTATTGTTTTGGTTTTGGAGGATTATTATTAGGCTCCGTGTGGAGTAAGGAAACTTGCCCAAGGTTTCGCCCTCTGCCTGGAATTGAACTCAGGTCTCTCACTTGCAAAGCGAGTGCTCTAACCACTGAGCTACAGGACACAGCCCAGTAACGCCACAATCACACCCACCCACCCACCCACCCACTCACTCACTCACTCACTCACCCACCCACCCACTCACTCACCCACTCACTCACCCATCCACCCACTCACACACTCACTCACTCACTCACCCACCCACCCACCCACTCACTCACTCACCCACCCACCCACCCACTCACTCACTCACCCACCCACCCACTCACTCACCGCTGCAGCGTCCTCAGGCGCCGTCTCATCCATGATTTGGGAGAAAAGTTTTTTTCTTTCCTGCATCACCCGCGCTCGCTCGTTTCTGAAATATTTGGGAATTGGGATGTCAAAATCCGCCTGAGAGAGAGAGAGAGAGACAACAATGTGAGGGAGAGAGAGAGAGAGAGACAACAATGTGAGGGAGAGAGAGAGAGAGAGACAACAATGTGAGGGAGAGAGAGAGAGAGAGACTACAACAATAACTAATTACATTTATATAGTGCCTTTCACATCGGAAGGACGTCCCAAGGCGTTGTAGATGGAGAGGGATAGTCAGAGAGAGAGAAAGAGAAGGAGAGAGGGAGTGATAGAGAGAGGGGGACAGAATGAGACAGCGACAGAAAGAGAGAGAGGGGGAGAGAGAGAGAGTGACAGAGCGAGACAGAGCGAGAGAGAGGGGGACAGAGGGACAGTGACACAGAGAGACAGAGACACAGACAGACACAGAGAGAGACAAACAACAGACAGAGAGACAGACAGAGGGACAGAAAGAGAGACAGACAGAGAGACAGACAGAGAGACAGACAGAGAGACAGACAGAGAGACAGACAGAGAGACAGATAGAGAGAGACAGACAGAGAGACAAACAGAGAGACAGATAGAGAGAGACAGACAGAGAGACAAACAGAGAGACAGACAGAGAGAGACAGACAGAGGGACAGAAGGGCAGTTTTGAACCTTGACCTCGACACCTCTTACATTAGAATCCATTAGAATATACAGCACAGAAAGAGGCCATTCGGCCCAACTGGTCTGTGCCGGTGTTTATGGTCCACATGAGCCTCTCCTGTCCTTCCTCAACTAAGCCTTCAAGGACAACCTTCTGTTCCTTTCTCCCTCAGGTACCTCTCGAGCTTCCCCTTAAATACAGCTGTGCTATAAATGTCTTGAGGGCATATTTCCTCCCATCCCGATCCTCCGAACACTCTCCCCCAACCTCTCCGCCTTGCCCCCTCCCCATTTTCAGATGCCGCCTGAAGACCTTCCCCTTTGACCACCCATACGGGCACCTAACCCTGGCTCAGGGTCAGGCTCCACCACTGTTAAGCGCTCCGAGACACTGCCCCTGTGTGAAGGGTGCAAGTTGTGGTAAAGCGTAGTGACTGTGCTTTGTGGGTGAACGCGGCGGCCAATTCACACCCGGCGACGTCCCCGCAAACAGCCGTGAGGTGAGCGAGAGACTGTATCTGGGGATTGTCGGCCCGGACACCGGGAGAGAGAGGGTGGGGGGGTGGGGGTGTGGGTGGGGGGGGGGGTGGGTGGTGGATTGGGGAGACAATGAGTTTGTCAGACACAGGAACAGACTGACGGCGTCAGCGCTGTCTGTCCTCACAGACCGACCCACTCGCTCCCCGCAGACGGTGCGGTGCTGTGATGTACTGCCATTCCATGGGTCTCTGCCGCCACCCTCTGGCCAGACAGGACCCCCCAACGCCTCCCCGCACACTGTCTCCCCGCCTCAGAATAACAATGATCGCCGCGTTTGACCCAATGCCTCATCACGTCGTCGAGAGACGTCTCAAAGCGCTTCACAGGATATACTGTAACGTGGAGTGACTGTGTATTCTGTGGCTACAACACGTACAACAGGGTCCACAAACAGTCGTGGACTGAGTGACCAAATTGTTATTATTATATTTTATTTGAGGGGATTATTACCCCCGGGAAAGCGATCTGCCGACCAACTAACAGCCTACTCACTGCTGTAAAGTGAGGCGTGTGTGTGGAGTAAGGAAACAAAATACACAGTCACTACACTTTACAGCGAAGAGCTTTGAGACGTCTCGAAGACGTGAAAAGGCCCTATATCAAATGCGAGGATTATTATTATTATTATGGATACACAGTCACTAACACGATTAAGGGATGACTGTCGCACTCGTGATCACACCCGCTCAGTGTTGAGGTGTCACACTCACGCTCAGGCTGGCCCTGGCTCTCGCTGGGACGTACCGGGGTGAGCTTGAGGTCCTGTATGGCATCGTCCATGTAGATGAACTCGGAGAGATGTCGCTGGATCATGTCCCTGCGGAGCTCCAGGACCCGGCCCATCACCCCGTCCAACAGACTCCTGACCAGCCGTCGCTTCTGGGGGTTCGCCAGCTGGTCATACACCTGGTCCAGCTTCCGCAGGATCTGCACATAGTGGATAAACAGCGAGGCCTGCTGCCGGGAGAAGGCCACAAGGTCCTTGGGGGGAGACAGGGACTCGGGCGACAGCTCCAGGGCCAGCAGCCCGTTCATGTGGGCTTGGGCCTCCCGCCACAGGTTGTTGTAGGCCCTGTGAGGGGAGCAAGGCCACGCCATTAACCCTGAGATGTCCATCGCTGGAGCCCGCGCCCCATCGTGTCCACTGACTGTGCCTATTTTCCCCCTTCCTCCCTCTCTCCCCCCATTCCCCTTTCTCCCCCAATTCCCCTGTCTCCCTCTCCCCAATCCCGTTTCTTTCTCTCACTCTCTCTCCCCCATTGCCTGTCTCCCTCTCCCCCATTTTCCTCTCTCCTCCCATTCCCCGGTCTCTCTCTTCCCCATTCCCCCATCTCTCTTTGCCCCTCATTCCCCGGTCTCTCTCTCCCCCCATTTCCCATCTCCGTCTCCCCTCATTCCCCCTGTCACTCTCTCCCCCATTTCCCCATCTCTCTCTCCCCCCATTCCCATGTCTCTCTCTCCCCCATTCCCCTCTCTCCCCCCATTCTCCCGTCTCTCTCTCTTCCCCCATTCCCCTTCCCCCCCGTCCCCGTGTCCCACATCTTTTTATATTCTTCTGTTTCAGATCTCAGGGTGGCCGCCGCGCTTCGCCCACAAAATAAAGTCAATTCGCTTTACATTATATGTCCTGTGAAGAACTTTGAGACGTCTCAACGACGTGATCGGGCGCTGTATCAGATACAAGGATTATTATTGTTATATTACGGTGTCGCCAGTCTGTGTTGGGCACTTACCCGTGAGACATGGCGTCCGGTGACAGTCAGCCTCTCCTATCCTGGTTCACGATGGGGTGAGCTGCCCCCAGCCACCCCCACACCCCCCCACCCGCACCCCTTGTGTCTCTCTGTCTGGCAGGGATTATATCACAGACTCTGTCTCGGTATCACAGTCTCTATTTATTCGTTACTCTCTCGCTTTTTCTGTCTCCCTCGCGGTCCCTGTCACTGACAATCCGTCTATTTCTCTCTTTCAATCGTCCAGTCTCTCACATACTTTCTCTGTGTGTCTGTGACGCTCTGTGTCTGTGACGCTCTGTGTCTGTGACGCTCTGTGTCTGTGACGCTCTGTGTCTGTGACGCTCTGTGTCTGTGACGCTCTGTGTCTGTGACGCTCTGTGGCTCTCACTCTATCTGTCTCAGTGTCTGTGACACTGTCAGCATCTATGTCCCCCCTCTCTATCTATCACACATTTTCTCTAAGTCACTCTCTCTCTCTCCCTTATCTCTCTCATACTCTCTCTCTCTCTTCAGTGCGTGTCTCTCTCTGTCTCAGTGACTCTCAGTGTATCTCTGTCTCTCAGTGGGTGTCTCTATTTATCTATCTCAGTCTTAGGGGTCTGTTTGTCTCTGTATCTCTGTATCCCTCTCTCTCCACTTCTCTATCTCTCCTCTGTCCCTCTCCCTCTCTCTATATGTCTCTCTCTATCTCTCCTCTGTCCCTCTCCCTCTCTCTGTATCTCCCTCTCTCTCTCTCCTCTGTCCCTCTCCCTCTCCTCTGTCCCTCTCCCCCTTTCTCTCTCTCCTCTGTCCCTCTCCCTCTTTCTCTCTCTCTCCTCTGTCCCTCTCCTCTCTCTCTCTATCTCTCTCTCTATCTCTCCTCTGTCCCTCTTCCTCTCTCTCTCTCCTCTGTCCCTCTCCCTCTCTATCTCTCTATCTCTCCTCTGTCCCTCTCCCTCTCTCTATCTCTCCTCTGTCCCTCTCCCTCTCTCTGTCTATCTCTCCTCTGTCCCTCTCCCTCTCTCTCTCTATCTCTCCTCTGTCCCTCTCTCTGTCTCTCCTCTGTCCCTCTCTCTCTCTCCTCTGTCCCTCTCCCTCTCTCTCTATCTCTCCTCTGTCCCTCTCCCTCTCTCTCCTCTGTCCCTCTCTCTGTCTCTCCTCTGTCCCTCTCTCTCTCTCTCCTCTGTCCCTCTCTCTCTCTCTCTCCTCTGTCCCTCTCTCTCTCTCTCTCTATCTCTCCTCTGTCCCTCTCTCTCTCTCTGTCTATGACGCAGTCGTGTGACAGCAGCACTGAGAACCCACGCACCACGTGTCGCTCATTGTTGATGTGGTTTCCATGGTAACCACCCGCACACCGGCTTCCGGGTGGTGTCACGTGATCCTCGTCACACACACACACACACACACACACACAGCACTACAACTCCCGAACTGCACCGCGCCCGTCTTAAAGGGGCCGCGTTCATTCTTCTGTTCCTTACCAAAATAATAGCAATCAACAACAACAACAACAACATTTAATTTGTGTAGCGCCTTCCCCCGCCTCCTCAACATCGCCCGGCTCCGGCACCGTCTCACACTGCAGGCCGCCGAAACCCTCATACACGCTTTCATTACATGGCGGCTGCATTTCGCCCACAAAAATATACAGTCAATTCACTTTACAGTCTATTCTGTGAAGCGCTTTGAGACGTCGAGAAGACGTGAAAAGCGCTATATCAAATGCAAGGATTATTATTATATTATTATCGAGGCTCGACTACGCAAACTCCCAGCTTGTCGGCCTCCCAACTCCTCCCTCCACAGACTGCAGATCATCCTGAACTCTGCAGCCCGTGTCCTCTCCCCCACCGGCTCCGTGACCCTATCACCCCCATCCTCGCCCCCACCAGGCTCCGTGACCCTATCACCCCCATCCGCGCCCCCACCGGGCTCCGTGACCCTATCACCCCCATCCTCGCCCGACTCCACTGGCTTCCCATCACACAGGGGATACAGTTCAAGATCCTGGTCCTCACCACTGTGATCTCCTAACCCCGTACCATCCTGCTCGCTCCCACCGCTCAGCGGGTTCCACGTCCCCCGTCTCGCTCGCCCCACTATTGCCGGGCGGGCCTTCTGTCACTCTGCCCACACCCTCTTGAGCTCTATCCTGTAATCCCTCCGCCTCGCAACCCCTCCCTTGCCCCCTTCAAGACCCATCTCAAGACCTCAAGACCCTCCCCTTCGACCGTGTCTTCGATCTCCCTGCTCCACCCCCCCCCCATGCCCTCCACCCTCCCTGACCCCCAACCCCCAGCTCGGGTCCAAACCACTGACTGTCCAGCGCCTTGGGACGTTCTCCCAACATGAAAGGCGCTATACACGTTTAATTTTGTTGTTGTTGTTGTAAGAGATTGACTTTTCGTGCACTTTTACATTAACTTAATTAGAATTGGCTGCTGGTCTGTGTAGTTTAAGTGTGATTTATGTTTCTTATCTCATAGTTGTGATTGTTGATATTTATTGTGTCATTTAAGATTTAATGCTGAGGGTTGTGAATTTCGTTAAAGCTACAATAACATTCTGTAGCCTGGCATGTCGCCTTGGAACCAGTTCAGCCCCGAAGAGACCCCATATACCTCCCATCCAAGCCGGAGAGTCACTATGTTTGGGGAAAAGTGGGTGAGAGGGGATTGAGAAGCAGCTGTTTGAGTTTGGTGAGCAAAAAGGGAGGTTTTTAAGAGAGGGCATGAGATGGAGGGATTTTGACAGAACTTTTCCTTATAATAATGAATAATAATACTCCTTGCATTAACATGTCTTCGAGACGCCTCAAAGCGCTTCACAGAATATACTGTAAAGTGCAGTGACTGTATATTTTGTGGGTGAAACGCGGCAGCCAATTGCACACAGCAGTGTCTGTCCCACAAACAGTCGTGGATTGAGTGTCCCACATTATTATCATTTTATTCATTTATCTTTTGGAAGGGTTTATTACCCCTCGGAAAATGATCCGCCAATTGATTAACAACCAGGTTCCTGCTTACTGCTTGGTAAACAGAGGCGTGTGGAGTAAGGAAACTTGGCCAACGTTTCTCCCGGCTGGGAATCGAACCCAGGTCCTCTCACTTGCGAAGCCAGTGTTTTTCATTACATCGAGGCTCGACTATGCAAACTCACTGCTTGTCGGCCCCCAACTCCTCCCTCCACAGACTGCAGATCATCCAGAACTCTGCAGCCCGTGTCCTCTCCCGCACCGGCTCCGTGACCCTATCACCCCCATCCTCGCCCCCACCGGGCTCCGTGACCCTATCACCCCCATCCTCGCCCGACTCCACTGGCTTCCCATCACACAGAGGATACAGTTCAAGATCCTGGTCCTCACCTTCAAAGCCCTCCATGGCCTCGCTCCCCCCGACCTCTCCGACCTCCTAACTGCCTACGATCCTGCTCGCTCCCTCCGCTCAGCGGGCTCCAGTCTGCTTCACGTCCCCCGGGTGGGCCTTCTGCTACTCTGCCACCACCCTCTGGAACTCCATCTCGCAGTCACTCCGTCTCGCGCCCTCTCTCGCCACTTTCAAGACCCAGCTCTAGACCCTCCTCTTTGACGGTGCCTTTGATCTCCCTGCTTCCCCCCCCCCGCCCTCCCCCACCCCGACCCCCAGCTCGGGTCCGTAACTCTGTCTGTCCAGCGCCTTGGGATGTCCTCCCGACATGAAAGGCGCTTTACACATGTAATTTTGTTGTTGTTGTTGTTGCTCTAACCACTGAGCTACAGGACTCCAACAGTGAGCGGGTGTGTTAATGAGTGTGACAGTCATCCCTCACTAATTACATACACTACAGGACTCCACTATAAAACAATCACTACACTGGGCAATAATTACAAGTTCTGGAAGATGAGATCAGTCGGGCCAAAGTTTCTTCATCATCCCAACCCCAACGCGTGATCTATTTTGGGACTTTTTCATACAGTATTCACCACATTTCACCAGCAGAGGACGGCACTCGCCTGCGTGAGCAACTGCAATGGATAAAATCTCCATCAACTGTGTGTCCACACTCCCAGGTCAGGGTTAGAGACGCAGTAACACACAGTCACTGCACTCCCAGGTCAGGGTTAGAGACAGAGGACCTCTGACTGTAGAAGTCAATGTTGAGGCAGACTGTGACGGTGGGTGTGGAGGGACTGTGGGATGGAGTATCAGAGAGTGAGGGCAGAATGGCTGACAGCTCACTCTTTGAGCACCTCACTCTCACACCCATCTCCTTTACCCCTCAAGTCCCTGTCCAACTCCCTGTTAAACACCCCTGATTGGGTTTGCCCGATCGGGCGGTGGGGGGATAACAAGGAGTTTGACAGAGGGAGAGTGGGCCGTGCTCTCACTTGTTGACTCCTCTCACTATGTGGCCGGCTATGTTGGAGGGTCTGGGGCAGTTGTGGTCTCATTGACCGCGGACCTGCCCAGGCTGCGGCTTGTCTTCCCACAACAACTTGACTTGCATTTGTGTAGCGCCCGTCACAGTGCGCAGCGTCCCAGAGCACAGAGACCATCGGCAGCACAGCAGCACCTCTCACCCTTACACCCACATACACTCCCCCCACCCACGGCAGTGTGTGTGTGTGTGTGTGCGTAAGGGTGAGTGTCAGTCAATTTGTGGACTGCTTTTCCAGGGATAATAATCCCTCCAAAAACAAATAATAATTTGGTCACTCAATCCACGACTGTTTGTGGGACACTACTGTGTGCAATTGGCTGCCGTGCTTCGCCCACAAAATACACAGTCACTACACTTTACAGTACATTCTGTGAAGCGCTTTGAGACGTCTCAACCACGTGATAAGGCGCTGTATTATTATTATTATTACTACTATTACACTGATCAGAGGCTGTTCTGATAATACAACAATCCTTGCATTTGATGTAGCACGTCAACACAGTTACTACACTTTACAGTGAAATCCTGCAAATCACCCTGAAGCGTCTGGAGGATGATTCAAGGCTCCGGGAGGAACACTGACCTTGTGTTTGACGCACAGCCTTTCATGTCGGGATTCATTGTGAAATGTAGTGACTGTGCATTTTGTCGGTGAATGTAGCAGCCAATTTATACGCAGCG